CATAATTAATAATTACAGAAAAAATAACAAAAGACAATAACAGCAAAGTATAAAAGGTATCTCTAACAACTTTATAGCAGTTTATAATAGCTAGTTTTTGAGTGATAAAGGTTTGGCTAGATGTAGATGTAGATTGTATAGGAAGGGGAAGTTAAACGCGACTTTACAGATCTATTGTTTCCCCCTTTCGTGAGTTATAACTCATCTATCAGTCTCAGGTGTTTTATAAAAGCCAGTATCTGAGACGGATTTACAGAGGTTACTTCTCACATATGGTTGTGATATCGGCGCACTCAGTGATGGGGTGTTCTGGTATTTCCCCATTTTCCCTACAGAATCTTTCCCGCCGTTGTTTCTTAGCTTCAATCTACTGAGGTGTTCATTGAGGAGGTGTCCTGTTAAAAACTCCGTGACAATCCGAAGATTATTCTGACTTAAATGAAGGAAAATCTGAGATTTTCGTAAGTCCTGAGAAATTGCTTTGAGTGTTTTAGACCATTGGAGGAATCTCATTCCAGGTTACGGATGAAGTCTTCCAGGTTCTTGAGTTCCGCTTTAAGTTAGTTTCCACTTGGGAGTCAGAACAATTCATCATAAAAAGAAATCAATTCATCAGAAAAAACATTCGAAATATGTAACTTTTTCCTTGCATCTTTCAACAGCCACCAAATAGTGAACAATACAAAATGGCAGATTGGTTACGAATATGTAAACAAGGATGATTAGAACTGACGAACTCACTTAGTGTGAATTATTTTGGACATAGGCTTTGTGGCATTCTCCGCCGGTGCTGCCACCATCGGAGAATATCGTAAACAATCGGTATATAAATATACACGGGTTTGAATGGCGAATAGACGAAAAAAAGTTTATACATATAATTATTGTGTTTAAGTAAGTATTGTTGTGTAAGTGTTAGGAAGTATAGTTTGCGAAAATTCTCAAAAAATTAAAAAGTAAATATTTGGATTTCTTCAGAAGGTTTAACTTGTATTATAATTTATTATTGAAGCTAATAAAACTTTTTGGATGAGTTCAACTACGGTTAGGTTAGGTTGTAGCGAGCATAGTTTTACGCACCGGTTTAGCTAGTGGGTTAGCTGTGACATAACTTGGGCTATTTGGGCTATAGCGAAATTTCATCATTCAGAGGTACATAATTATAATTTTAAAAGATATTCATAAAAAATTAAGCACTAGTTGGTTAATTACTTAATTAATATTGCAAACTATATTTTATCCTCTCATAGTATATGTCGATTTAATTTTTTGATTATGTAATGGGGCACTTTGGTTACTCACTTGTCGTCGAACTGCTTGAATCCATTTTTGCTTCTGATCAAATCGGTATGAGAAGCACTGAATCTATAAAATGGTGTTTCGGGAGAGTTGCATATCCGGGAAAATTGAGTTATTAAATGGGGGTTATTGCACCCAACAACCATGTAATTACGCCCACCTTTACGCGTGAACATTAAGTTTCAATATTATGACAATGCCACGATTTCAATACTATCTTAATGCGATCAACATAAACTGTAAGCGGGACGGCGTGAAATTTATAGCGAAAATTTCTGACTTCTGCCGATAGAGCGCTGTGGTCGGATTTTTGAAATCAACTGAAATGCACCAAGCCCAATGTACCCAAACAAATAAAAATCATTAAAAATATACATTTAATTTTTGTTTGGAATAGAATTTGTTTGCGTGTTGTTAAGCGGTATTTTGCGATATTGTGGTTATTCTGTCATCGTTAATATGAACAGACTTTATTTAACAATAGAGGAAGCAAATCAAGCCAGTGGGTTGCTTTTTAGCGGTGCGCGACAGATCGATGTGGTTGATCGATTTAAAGTCACCTAAAGTGTAATTTCTAGACTTATAACCGATTTAATGAGACTGAATCTGTCATGGAGAGGCATAAGGAGGGTAGACCAAGGTCGACAAATGCTAGGGAGGACCGACTCGTAATGAGAAGGCTAGGATGGATCCTGCAAGAAACTACACGTTCGTTGCTCAGCCAGGACCTTTTGGCTGTCAGCAGGGTTACGTATTACCCCTCTCTCAGACGGCCTTAAATCGATTAAAAAAGCAGGTTTACATTGCTATAGGTAT